TGCAAGTTCCTTCTCCTCTTTTTAGTCTCTAGATGTTGTAGTCCTTGGATTTTCTCTTACACATTCAACACCATGGCTTTTAACACCAGCTAAATACTGATGACTCTCAGATTCATGTCTTTAACGTCAGCTTTCCCGTGGACTGGAGTCATGTCTAAGTCACCTAAGCGGCATCTCCGCTTGGATGCTTAATAGCTCTCTCAAACTTAATGTGGCCATGATGGAACTCTGGGTTTCACCCTATGTTTTAGTTATCTATTGCTGTGTAACAAATCATCCCCAAACTTAATGGCTTAAAACAACAATGAACATTTATTACCTCACACAGTTTCTGTGGGTTTCCATGGCTAGCTTAACTAGGTGATTCTGACCTTGAGTCTGTCATGAGGTTGCAGTCAAGAGGTCAGCAGGACTGCAATCATCTGAAGGCTTGACTGGGGCCAGAGGATCACCTCCAACAGCACATGGCTGTTGGTGGCAGGCTTCAGGTTCTAGCTGGCTCTCGGCAGGAGGACCTCTCTGTAGGGTTTGGAGTGTCCTCACGACATGGCAGCTGGAGAAAGCCAGAGCAAGCAATCCAAGAGAGCAGGCAGAGAAGCCACAATGTCTTTTTTTGGCCTCAGAGGACACTTACTATTACTTCTGCCATATTCTTTTGCTCACAGGTCAACCTGATACAATGGGGGAGGAGACTACACATTCATGTCAGGAGGCAGGAATCACTGGGAGCCATCTTGGAGGCTGATTCACAGCCGAGAAGCCTGCTCCTGCCCCTATGCTCCTCATATGATGAAGTGGCTTGCTCCTCAGGATAATATCCTGGGAGTCGTCTTTGGTTCTTCTCCTTCATATTCAGTCCATCAGAGAATTGGATCAGCTCCATCTTCAGACCCTACTCTGGATCCCATTTCTCACCGCATCTACAGCACCCACCCTCATCTCTGCCCATATTGACTGCAGTAAGCTAACTGGCATCCCTGTTTCCACTCTTGCCACCAAAGCCTCTTCTCTAGCATCCAGAGAGTCAAGTTCATGTCACTGTCCTTTGTTTAGCAACCTCCAGTGGCTCCCACCTCCCTCAGCAACAGCCAGCATCCTTGCCATGGTCTGTATGATCTGCCCCCTCACCACTTCTCTCTCTGTCTTTCCAAACTGCCTCCTCTCTGCACCAGGAGAGCCTCCAGGCTGTTCCTCAAGCCTGTGTGTGCCTCAGAATCCTGCGTGTGCTGTGCTCTCTGGACTACCCCTGCCCCCGACAGTCACAGGGCTTGCTCCCGCACTTCAGCCAGGTTTCTGCTCATGTTACACCTCTCAGAAAGGCCTTCCTTGGCCATCCCATGCAAGATGGCACCTTGTTACTCTCAACACCCTTGTTCTGCTTTATTTTTCTTCATATCACCTATTACTACTGGACCACATACTGTATATTTATTAATTTTCTTGTTTATCATCCGTCTCCTTCTCTAGAATGTCAACTCCAGGACAACAGAAATACCATCCATTATGATTATTGCTGGACCTTCCCACAGCACCTGAAATGGTGCCTAGCACATAATGATTGCTTAAATATTAATCTGTGCACTAAACAAATGAATGAATGGACCACGTGGGAGCAATGAATTCAGCTAGAACAGTGCCACTCGATAGAACATTCTGCGATGGTGGAAATATTCTATATGTTCTATAACTATTCTATATCTTGTCCAACGTGGTGACTCTTAAATACCTAACATGTGACTAATATGAGTAAGGAATGGGATTTTTTATTTTAACTTTTAATTTCTATTGATTTTAATTAAATAGCCACATGTAGCCAGCAACCATTATTTTAGAGCAAATCTGGATCCTTGGAGTGGGCATGTAAATGTCATTCCATGTACTTCCTGGTAGAGTGGAAGAGACTTCCTGGGACTCTGTGTTAAGAAGGAGCTGGAGGTCCAATCAACGAATCTTTTTCAAACACCTTCTATGTATCCAACACTCTCATTATCATCAGGATCTTACACAAAAGAGTGTATTCATCTATTAGCACTTTCTGCTTTGGGCAAGGAGGCGAGGGTGGTATGATGTGGTATATTCACCATCCCTGACCTCAGTCATTCCAGGGGTGACCAGAGCTCCTTCTTGACTTTTCCAGAGAGTGATTGCTGGAACTTACACCTAGTGTCATGGCAGCCCCTGACTGGCTTCCCCCACCCCTGCCCTGTGTGTCCTCCCCATCCTCTCCACTAAGTTCCCTCAATCCACTCTTCACAATCAGAGTAGAATGTTCTTGCCTTGAATCCTTTTGAGGGCTGAGCAGATTTCTCTTTCACACACACAGCCCTGCAGATTTTGGATTTTCTCAAACATTATACAGTTATACTGATTTGTATGTGTTTATCTTATTGTCCGAAAAGCTGCTTTGCACAGGGAGTTAGGTTGTCCCTTTTACGTATTCAGTGAGTCCCCTATATATGAACCTTCAAGTTGTGAACTTTCAAAGATGTGAACGTGCATTCGTATGTCCAGTCACGTAAGTTAGTTCACATGTCTGGTGTACATTGTCACATGCATACATCCTCTACAAGTGGTTGTGCTTTTGTGTACTGTACTGTACAGTATCTTTATTTCAAGCCCAGGATGTCTGGAAGCAAGCGTAAAAACAGCAGTGACATAGCTGGTACTGCTAAGAAGCGCCAAGCGATAACGATGGAAACAAAAGTGAAAATAATTGAGAGTGAAGCAAGGCAAAATAAGATGGTAGACACCGCTAGTTCTTATAACATGAATTGTTCAACCATTGGCATGATTCTGAAGAACAAGAACAAGATCATGGAACATGTGAAGTCTGCTGTGCTGATGATGTCACCAGTAATATCGAAGAAGTGTGGAAAAGTGACGGAGGAGATGGAGAAACTTCTCAGTGTGTGGATGCAGGATCACATCAGTGTCGAGTCCTGCTCAGCTTAATGCTGATGCAAGAGAAAGCCAAAAGCCTTTATGAAGACTTGAAGAAGAAACACAGTGAAGAGTCAGAGGGTGCATCTTTTAATGCCAGCCATGTCTGGTTTCATTGGTTCAAGGCTAGAGCCAACCTTCACAACGTAAAGGTAAGTGGCGAGGCAGCAAGTGCAGATATGGTAGCTGCCTGGGAATTTCCTAAAACACTTTGAGAAATTATTGATGAAGGAGCATATTTCCCCTAGCAGATTTTTAATGTGGATGAGACAGGACTGTACTGGAGAAGGACGCCAGACCAAAGTTACATCAATAAGAAAGAAAAGCTGATGCCAGGCTATAAAGCAGCAAAGGACTGGCTAACTCTGTTGTTTGGTGGCAATGCTTTCGACAATATGAAGCTGAAGCCTGTCTTATTTTATCATTCAGAGAACCCAAGAGCCCTTAAAAACATAGCCCAGGGCTCCCTTCCTGTTGTGTGGAAGAGTAACCCCAAATCCTGGGTTACACACGCCATTTTCCAGGACTGATTTTTCCACCACTTTATCCCAGAGGTAGAGAAATCTTGCTTGGAGCAAGATGTCCCATTCAACATTCTTTTGCTTCTCAACAGTGCTCCAGGCCGCCCCCCATTCATGGACGACTTTCATCCCAACATCAAAGTAGTGCATCTGCCACCAAATTCTATGTCACTCATCCAACCCATGGGCCAGGGAGTTATTGTGATTTTCAAGAAATATGTACGTCACACTTTTTGTCAAGCAGCTAAGGTGAGTGATGAATCAGGAACAACCTTGCAACAATTTTGGAAGGACTTTAACATCTACAAGGCCATAAAAAACATTAACTTTGCTTGGCGTGAGGTTACAGCCGTCACCATGAATGGGGTTTGGAAGAGCCTTTGCCCACAGTTTGTTCACGATTTTCATGGATTTGAGAATGTGGATAAGGAGTCCAAAGAGGTCGTCAGCAACTTAGTGACCCTCAGCGAGAAGCTGGAGCTAGATCTGCAAGACGACAACTTCATTGAACTTCTTGCTGTGCAACATGAGGGGCTTACTAATGAAGACCTGATGGAATTGGAGGCCCAGAGAAAGGACAAAGAGACAAAAGAGGAAGAAGTAACTGAAGAACCAAAGAGTTTCATGATGCAGGAAATGGTAAGGGGATTTTCTTTATCCGAGGAGGCACTGTTAGTTTTTGAGACACAGGACCCGAACATAGAATGGTATACGAAAGTTGCAGCAGCTGCTCAGAATGCAATCCAGTGCTGCCGCATCATCTAAGATGAGAAAAAAGAGCTACTACCCAGACATCACTGGATCGTTTTTATTTCAAGACGGTAGGTAGAATTGAATCCAGCAAGGAACCAGAATCCGTGTCATCCACATCAGGCGTGAGTGAAATTGCAGCTTGCCCTCCATCTCCTATTGCTGACGATCCTTCAGCTCTACCATCTCCCACCTCCTCTCCCTCCTCCAGTCAGTAACTCTTCTTGCCTGTTCACTTGATCAGCCCCTGTGTGCCAGCTGTTGTACTGTACTACTGTACATTTCAAGGTACTGTACTGTAAGATTAAAAATGTTTATTTTTTGTTTGTTTTTATGTATTATTTGTGTAAAAAGTATTATAAACCTATTACAGTACAGTACTATATAGCCGATTGTGTTAGTTGGGTATCTAGGCTAACTTTGTTGGACTTACAAACAAATTGGACTTATGAACACGATCTCGGAACGGAACTCATTCGTATGTAGGGGACTTACTGTATTGGCGTTTTCCCCTTCATAACTCCTGGGATCACCTCCTACTACTTGCATTCTAATCCAGGTCTCAGAGTCTACTTCTGGGGATTTTATTAGGGAAGGAGGAAGAAATAGGCAGGATGGGGAGGTCGGAGGGCAGATAAAGGGTGGAAGCGATGCATCCTGGGACCCCATGAGGTAAGCCTCACCCACGAGTGGGTTGTGCAGTGGTGCTCATCATTTGGACCAGCTGTGTGATGGCTATGGTATTCAGATGTAGCATGTGAATTTCTCCATCTGTGTCTGTCTTCCCAGGTGGATTATGATCGAGCACAGGTGGTCCTCAGCCCTCCACTGTCAGGGTCTGACACCTACCCCAGGGGCCCTGCCAAACTACCTCAAAGTCAAAGCAAAGCAGGCTATTCCTCAAGCAGCCACCAGTACCCATCTGGGTACCACACAGCCACCCTGTACCACCACCCATCCCTGCAGACCAGTTCGCAGTACATCTCCACAGCTTCTTATCTGAGCTCTCTCAGCATCTCATCTAGCACCTACCCTCCACCCAGCTGGGGCTCCTCCTCAGACCAGCAGCCCTCCAGGGTGTCCCACGAACAGTTCCGGGCAGCCCTGCAGCTGGTGGTCAGCCCAGGAGACCCCAGAGAATATTTGGACAACTTTATCAAAATCGGGGAAGGGTCAACCGGCATTGTGTGCATCGCCACTGAGAAACACACGGGGAAGCAAGTCGCCGTGAAGAAAATGGACCTCCGAAAGCAACAGAGACGAGAGCTGCTTTTTAATGAGGTAGATGGTGTGCACGGATCATCCTTTCTGTCCTATGTAACATTTCTTTCCCATTTCAGAAATAACACATATACATTTTAGGACATTAGAAAACACAGAAAATATAAATACAAAAATAGCATCCCTTTTTCTATGCCTGTATGGCTGCCTCTTTATGAAGTACTTCCTGTGGATCAGCCACTGTGCTAAGCATTGGTCTGGTTTGATTCTCATAATAGCCATAGACAGAAAAATGTTATCTCCATTTAGCAATAAGGAAACCTAGCATCAGATTATGTTACTAAACCGGGGTCAGACAATAGGTTCATACAGCTGTAACAATACAGTCAGCTGTGACTTTGGACCCTCTTCCGTGATGGCTTATGTGAAGGCTCCACCCAGCTCCAACTCCCATAGGTGTTATTTCTTTTCCATGCTCCAGACCTCACAGAGAGCATAGGGTGAGTGGGATTCAGTTTCTTCCCAGTCCACAGCTCCTGATTTCTGGAACTTATTTCCAAACCACAGTGCCAGAACAGACAGGGAAAATATAACTTAAACAACTGTATAATTTATTATTTAGCACTCATTCTGAAAATATCACCAGAAGCAGCCACAGGATGGCAATTTCTGGACACTCGGTCCAGCAAGCAGACACAAGTTGGCCTTTTAATGCCTAAGTCATAATGTTTTTACCTTCAAGACTTATCCTTTGTATTCAGCACAAACTCTTTCAGACTCAGCCTAGACCTCCCAAGAAGTTAGATTGGTGTCATGTGGCCCCAGCCCTAATAACTGTTTACTTCAGTCACTTCTGAGACTCACTTACCTTGAGTTGGTGACCCTTTTGCCCAATAGCAGAGTATGGAAAATGTGTTTTAAAAGTAACCTATGGGATATCTGATCACATCCCCCCAAACAGTCAACAAAACTCCCTCTTGTGAATGCAAACTCTGCCATGGTTCTGCCTGTTTTTACCCCGTATTCTCCCCCAACCCAGTGTCTTGTTGACCTGCCATTTTCTCTGAATTTGCTAACTTGATCCCCTCTATTCCTGCCAGCTGCTCTCAGTGCTGTCTCTTTGTCTGTAATAGACTTCTGAATACGCCGCCCCCCACACACAATCAGTAGTCCTCATCAGTTGAACTCACAGCCCAAATGTAGCCATGAGAAAACAAAAAGTCAAATTTCACGGTCCTAAGTCAAACGGTGTCTTTCCATTTTGCCCAGGTTGTGATAATGCGGGATTATCACCATGACAACGTGGTTGACATGTACAACAGCTACCTTGTCAATGATGAGCTCTGGGTTGTCATGGAATTTCTAGAAGGTGGTGCCTTGACAGACATCGTTACTCATACCAGGTAAGTTTCTTTACTATCCAGGCAAGTAGTTCAAGGTGCTTATTATTCTTTTCCAGGGTAAGGCCTCAGTAACTATATTTATGAACTCTTCATAAGTAGTTAAGCATTTTGAAGGTAGAAAAACGACTGCCCTTTTTCTCTGTATTCCCAGGTACCTATCACAATATCATGTATGTGTAGTTCATTCACTCAATTCACATTCTCACCTTGCCCTCCAGAAGTTTATTGGTACTCACTGATTTTAAATCAGCAAGCTGCTGAGAATGGAGTTTCGGTGACAAATAATAGAATTTCCCATCCGTACGTACATTTCTAAAACTGAGTTTCATTCTCCTAAGTTGCTATATCATTGCTCTGTGTTGATACCACCAAGGATACCTGGGGAAGGCAGGGGCAGGTGAAAGATCAGAATTTTATGTCAGGGCTTCCCTGGTGGCGCAGTGGTTGAGAGTCTGCCTGCCGATGTAGGGGACACGGGTTCGTGCCCCGGTGCGGGAAGATCCCACATGCCGCGGAGCGGCTAGGCCCGTGAGCCATGGCCGCTGAGCCTGCGCGTCTGGAGCCTGTGCTCCACAACGGGAGAGGCCACAACAGTGAGAGGCCCGCATACCAAAAAAAAAAAAAAAAAAAATTATGTCATAATAAAAAACTACATAAGAGAGAGAGAGATTCTTCAAATCTGTTTTTAAATCATCTTGCAAGTAACAATGGTTGCTTGCCACTGTTGCCTCAGCTACTTGCTTCTCTGATGTGTCAGTTGTGGTCATTTCATCAAGTATTTATTAATCACTTTTTATGTGCCAGGCTCTTTCCTAAGTGCTGGGGCTACAAAAGATACAAATGAATAAGGCTCAGATACACCCTTCCAAGGAAGTCTCAGATTAGAAATAAATACATTATAACACCTGTGCAGAATTAGAATTATATAAGTAGCATAGAAGAATACCTGAATATCTCTATAAGAGAGTCAAGAAGGATTTCCAATATACGGTGGTGTCCAGGATGGGTTTTGAGAGATGCATCAGAGTTTACTAAGAAGGCAAGTGGGAAGAAAAGAGCATTGAAGGCAAATGAAAGAGTATGTGCTAAGACAGTGCTTCTAAAATTTTAATATGCATACAGATTACCTGTAGATCTTATTAAAATGCAGATCCTGCTTCAATGGGGGGGAGGCATAATACTCTGCATTCTAAGGAACCCCCAGGCAATGTTAATGCTGTTAGTTCATGGACCACGCTGGAAAAGCAAGGTTCAAAGGAACAGACGTGTAAAAAAATCATGTTACATTTGGGAAACTTTAAGTTTGCTCTGCTGGTAAATAAAATACCAAAGATTTGAGAAGATTGTCATGAAGGAGCTACATTGGGTATTAGCTGATGTCACTGAAATGGCGTCCAAATCATAAGTGAATCCAGTTGAGCGACAATAGGTGGAAAGCAAGGTAGCAAGAAAGTGTTCAGAAACCTGTAAGGGATCGAAGGTGCTGCTTTTTCTCCGCTAAAATGAGGCAGTGTTTCAATCATGACTCCCTATGGCTCTGAGTCTGCGGTAGACCATCTAAAAACAAAAGGACATGAGGGAAGACACCAAATGTTTATCACCAACATTTCAGCTGGCAGATTCCTATTGGTATAGCCATACAACCACCATATCTATCTATCTATCTATCTATCTATCTATCTATCTATCTATCTATTTAATCATCTTAAATTGTAGCAACAAGTATACTGAAGAGACCTACGAATAAGACAAATGTGACTTACATATAAAGCAATTAATAAAAATATGTCCAAGGGAGGGGCTTTTTTCTTGCCTCAGAGAGCATCAGAAAACTACAGCTCTCACTTTGTCAAGTTCTTATTTTGTATCCGTGGGATTCACTGAAGAGCCAGCCTCTCTAGAATCCATTGTGTTTTCTAATTCTCCCCATCTAGTTTTGTTGATGGATTTCCCCTTGAAGGCAGAGTAGCTCCAGAGAGCAAGAAGCAATTGTATGTCAAGGAATATCAGGGATATTTAGAATTTGAAATCCTTAAGCTGGTAGTTCAGAGAGTTTCCTATAGTAGATAGTCAATAAGTACTTCATTGAATGATTGGTTGATAAAACATTTAACTGCTTGCCACTCAAAGTGTGGTCTGGGGACCAGCAGCATCAACATCCCCTAAGAGCTTGTTAGAAATACAGCATCTCAGGCTCTACCCAGATGGACTAAAAGAATCCATGATCTAGCCAGATGCTCAGGAGTTTCTTTTTTGTTAATTTATTTATTTTATTTATTTATTTTTTGCTGTGTTGAGTTTTTGTTGCTGCGCATGGGCTTTCTCTAGTTGTGGTGAGCGGGGGCTACTCTTTGTTGCGGTGCCCATGCTTCTCATTGTGGTGGCTTCCCTTGTTGCAGAGCATGGGCTCTAAGCACACGGGCTTCAGTAGTTGTGGCGGGTAGCCTCAGTAGTTGTGGCACATGGGCTCTAGAGCACAGGCTCAGTAGTTGTGGTGCATGGGCTCAGTTGCTCCACGGCATGTGGGATCTTCCCGGACCAGGGAGCGAACGTGTGTCCCCTGCATTGGCAGGTGGATTCTTAACCACTGCACTACCAGGGAAGTCCCCTCAGAAGTTTCTTACACATACTAAAGTTTTAGCCCTATCTAGCATCTTGTTAAATCATATCCTACTTATTTCAAGGAAACAGTTCTAGAAGGGAAAGGAAAGTACCAAGCTCTGTCAGGTTCTTACATTAACTCATGTAACCTTCACACATCTCTGTAAGGTAGGTGTTGATGTGCCTGTCTGTTAGAGGATGAAGCTATGACTCATAGAGGTGAAAAGTATCTTTCTCAAGATCACGTATTTAATAATTGGCAGAGTCAGGATTTGAATTTGGAGTTGACTCCAAAACTGAGGTGTTTTTATCCCCACCTGATTTCCTCCCTGCTGAAGTAGGAAAGCACCAGGCTTTCTACATTGGGCCATGTCCATTTCAAAGTCATTGAATTAAGGGTCAGTAGCATTTGTTATGAATTCCAGGGGATCTTTCAGTTTGTGATTGGGGGCTCAGAGTCAATTAATTTTTCTTACCTTTGACCTGTGAAAAATCTTTATGCCTGCTCCAAATAACTCAAATCTCATTGAATCCAAGAAAAATGTATTTTATTTTAATAATTTTATTAAAGATGATAATTCTTGGTCCTGAATTAATTTTAAGATGTAGTTGAACTTGTCCCTGTGGCTGATGCTCTAAACCTCTCAGGAGTGTGCTTTGGGCAGATGTGAAAATTGTCACCTGAAAACAATCCAGCATAGTGACCAGCCCACTTACCACAAAACCAAGAACACAGAAGTTGTAGGTTTCCACTCTGTTTCAGACACCTGCCTTCCTATGAGGCCAATTCATTGCCGTGGTAGGAATCCTCTTCAAAGAGAAGGGCATGTTTCTTCATACTCATCCACTTTGTACCTTTGACATTCTCCTGATTGGTTATCTCCTTGGATTTTATTTTGAACCCTAGTTTTACTCAGCTGGGGTTTGTTGGCATCAACAAGACTGAAATGCAGATTCAAGGCCATCTATTTACTTGTCCTGCTGAGCTATAAGTTACCTGGGATTATTTCCCAAGTCAATTCTTAAATTTGGGCTCTGGTCAGTTGCGAAGTGTGTCTCCAGATAGCCTCCTCTGTTTGCCTGATAGTTTGTTTTAGGAGGTCTTTCACATTTGCTACCTAATTTGGGCCTCTCAATATCTCCATGAGAGGGAGGAAGTTTTATGCCTAGATGAGTTAGGCAGATGCCTAAATGGGTCATTTTGAGGGCACTGAGGGACTCCATTCTCCACATCATTCTTCCCACCTGGGTTCTTCAGTGGCTGAAAATCCATTCTTTTGAGTTACAATTGCTGCATGATACAGTGGGGAAAGTGGAAAAGCATGGGTTTTGAACTCATAAAAGGTGGGGTTTGAATCATGATCTGGTTACTTTCTGAGCTATATAACCTTGGGCAGGTCACCTGACCTCAGTCTCCTCTGAAACCAGAAATACCTTCTTCGGAGGGTGCAGCCATGAAATGGGGGAGCATATCCAGTGTTGTGCTTGCCTTTCTCATTCCCATGGTCTATTTATTAGCATATCACGCATTCACGCTTGGTTATTAGTAACTAACTAGGCCCAATTTCCGTCTTGACAGAGGGACCTGGAGTAACAGAAGCTTCCAGCTCCTGGAGGAGGGAGAGGAAGGGCTGGTGAGAGGCAGGGCAAGTCCCAGAGGGGGATCTTAGAGATCTAAAGACCACTTTGCCTGAGTCCAACCTTGAAGAGAACCATGGCCTTGCCCATTTCCAAGATGAGGAAAAAGAGACCCGAGGAAGTTAAAGGACCTCCTCAAGGTCATCTAGCAGCCACTCCTGGAACTTTGGCGTCATTCAGTGTGCCCTCTCTGTAGGACCCTGGAGGTTTGTCAGTACCTGGGGAATTACCTATAAGAGTCCAAGGAAGTGCATTTGCACTGATGACCCAAAAGCCAGCCAATGGGGGTCTCTTTACTTTAGCTTATACTGAGCCCCTATCATCCTCAATGCCAGGCCTTAGGTTCTGGGAATCAGGTCCCAAAGACTTCCTCTTCCTTCCCCATAGATTTTCGAGACATGGGCTGGGGAGCATGGACTGGTTCACTAGAACACAAGGGAGCCACCTCTCTTTATCATTTCAAAGATGGTCTTAAGCCTGACCTTTCTCCTTCAATGTGATTTCCTTTCTAGAATGAATGAAGAACAAATAGCTACTGTTTGTCTGTCGGTTCTAAGGGCTCTTTCCTACCTGCACAACCAAGGAGTGATTCACAGGGACATAAAGAGTGACTCCATCCTGCTGACAAGTGATGGCCGGGTAAGATTTTCATGTTGGGTCCCTCCCCGGTTTACCTTGTCATTTCACCTGTCACAGGTACTATATTCCTAAGAACACTTTCTCATAATTCTAATTTTCCTTAGTCGCAAGTCACCCACTCCCATTCCCAGGAGGCTTTTGAAAAAGAAATTACCATCCTCTGTGTCATCCTGTTATTCAGAACTATCTGTGAGCTGAATTTGATGGATAATTTTCTGCCTTAACAGTAAGTGCAGGAAGTAATAGAAACTATAGAAATTTCTTTTATTTTTCTGCCACATTCTTATTTTCATTGGTGGAGAGAAAATGACTTTTCTAGGACTGTGTCCACCCTGTTCGTGTGACTACGTATGTCTGCAGTATCTCTCAGAGTCGTTGTAGGAAACAGATGACAAATTCCAGTGTTTTGAGGAGAGTTTAATAAAGGTGTGGGCAGATGAGATGTAGAAAAGCCAAAAGGAACTGGTCATGAGGACCAGCATAGGTCTCTAGAATGGAACACCACTCTTATTACCCCATGACTGAAGAGGTGAGGTTCAGAACTAGTTACTGGAATCTTGAAATAGAGATTGTTGTGTGAAGAGGGCTGCCTGGCAGGAGCTCTGATCTTCGGTGGAAACCAGACCATAGTGAACCTGCTGGATGGGAGCTGGGCCAATAAGTACCCGAACCTCACTCTACTCCTTCCTTCCAGTCTCCTACTGGTGCTCCCCATTGACTGAGTCCAATCAGAAGCCATCAATGGTCAACACAGGTTGGCCTCCCAGGGCTCAGGGCTCCCAGATCTGAAAGGACAAACAGAAGATATCCATCACACTAGTGTATCCCCAGGCCCAGATATCTGCATTTCCCATCATTGCAGCCTGCTCAGGGGTTTCACTTGAAACTCATCAGCCACACCAGATAGAATACAACAGCCAAGGAAGGCATGAGTTGACATTCCCAGGAAGGCTTAGTTAGATGAAAGAGTTTTGAAGCATAGATTTTTTTTTTTTCCCTATTTAGACCCTTTTAATCTTCCTGAAACTCCCAGCAGATGTAATAGCCTTGTGATGAATGGAGCCAGCTGTCCCTTTAATGCACCTGTCTTTTACCACCCAGCATCCTCGGTCACATGGAAAACGTTCACGTCACATCAGAATCTGCCCAGGAATGATCAGAGGGCAGCCAGAAGAAACTACCCAAGAACTTTGGCTTTTCTTCTTTTATTTTAAAAAGATTGTCAATTTTATTGTGGAAAATTCAGAAAATTTAGAAAAGTATAAAGAATAAAATAAAAATCACCCATGGGGCTTCCCTGGTGGCGCAGTGGTTGAGAGTTTGCCTGGTAATGCAGGGGACACGGGTTCGAGCCCTGGTCTGGGAGGATCCCACATGCCGCGGAGCAACTAGGCCCATGAGCCACAACTACTGAGCATGCGCGTCTGGAGCCTGTGCTCCGCGACAGGAGAGGTCGCGATAGTGAGAGGCCCGCGCACCGCGATGAAGAGTGGCCCCCGCTTACCACAACTAGAGAAAGCCCTCGCACAGAAATGAAGACCCAACACAGGCAAAAATAAGTAAATAAGTAAATAAATAAATAAATAAGCCAAGCATTTGAAGCCCTTAAAAAAAATCACCCATAATCCCATTTCATATATATATATATATATATATATATATATATATATATATATATATATATATATGAACATACACACACATACACACATAATTTACCAACTTAGTATTATGTTCAATGGGCAGTTTTAAGTCCTGCTTTCTGCATTATTCTGGCTGAATTTTTTTTAAGAGCGTACAGGAGTATGTATCAGTTTTTGCTACACAACAAACCACTCAATACTTAGTGGCTTAAACCCAGAACCATTTATTTGCTCACAATTCTGTGAGTCGGCTTTTGCACTGACCTCAGCTGGGACAGCTTACCTCTGCTCCATGTGACATCAGCTGAGCTCACTCTTGCATTTGCGGTCAGTTTGGGGTCGACAGCCTCACTAATTAGCCTGGTGGTTGGCTGGATCTCAGCAGTGCTAGTGGAGGTAACTGGGCCTAGATGCAAGGGGTGGGGAAATAACACCATAAACACCACTGCCTCTTGATGGGAGAAGATGCAAAGTTGCATCCAAAGGCATATGGATACAGAGAGGGGAAGACCATGTGGCCATTTTGCAGCATCTCCCATAGCGCAGGGGAGCTATAGGAAAAGGGCTAGAACTCTCTCCTGGCCTGACTCAGAAAAGCACCAGGGCAAGGTCCCATGGCCTCAGAACACAGTTTGCAGTGCACTGAACTGGTCCACAAATTGGCTCTGGGGACTGGAGCTTACAGGAAAAAAAAATCAGGACAGTTTCTGCCAGGCTTTCTGTCGGATGTCAAAATCAGACATGAGACAAAGACAGTTCATTATTTAATTAGCTTGCTTAAAGATCTCCCCTCCCCACAATATATAAAAGGCTAGATCATTCAGTGTCACCCTTGAGGGCAGAATCTCCATTTCAAACATTTCTTTAGTTTCCACGCACCCAGCAGAGCTCACAGGGACTGGCACATCCTCAGTGCTTTTTCAGTCTGAACGGTTTGTTCACTCACTCATTCAATAAATATGAGCTAAACGTCATTCTGTGCCAGGGCAGTGCTAGGTCCTAGGGATGAATAAAGCAAAATCACTAATTTCATTCAGTTTATTTGGAGAATGGGGGTGTGATAATAAACAAATAGGTAAACATACAAATAAAATCACCACCAGATTGCAGGGTGATATATTCTAAGTTTTCTATGATTAATTAACTTAAGTAGAGTAAAGAAGGTGGAGGGTGGAAACTAGAGGGTCTGTAGAGGCCGGTCAGAGAAGGCCCCTCCACAGTGGGGTGGTGACAGCAGAGACACGTGAGGGGCGGGGCCTGTGGCCTTTCGGGATGAGAGTGTTCCAGGAAGAAGGAACACAGCATGTGGAGTAGAGCCTGACTCTCGGCCGTGTTGGCCAGGGTGAGCTCATCCAGATTTAAGAACAAGGTGCCATATCGACTCCAGTTTCTATAGAGAAAGGAAACTTTCTTACTTAAAAAAGAGAACAGAGATGGAGTGTGACTACTCCAAGAAAAGGCTGAGAGTACAATTTATACTAATCTATTGGAGCTTTTATAGCGTTCTGTAGTACAGAAGACATATTCATTTATTATCATAACAAATCACCTTAGGTCTTAAGTCAAAAGTTATTTTCACATTCTCACATGACTCTGAGAGTTGGCTGGGCTCAGCCAGCCAGTGCTCCTCTGACTTGTTAGATGGTGCATCTAGAAATCTTCCTCAGGCAAATGTCAGGAACGTAGTGCTGACTGTTGGCTGGATGCTGAGCTGGAACTTTCCACCAGAACACCTACCATGTGGCCTTTCCATGTGGCCTTCCTTACAGCATGGAGGCTGGATTCCATGAGTGAGTGTCTCAAGAAAACAGGGTAGAAGTATGGCATTTTTATGACCTCAAAGTCACATAGTGTCACTTTTACCATGATCACAGCCCTTCCAGATTCAGCGGGAAGGAACATGAAACTCTCCTGACTGGGAGGAGAATTGAATCATATGTCAAGAAGATCTCAGGGGCTGGACAGTATTGTTGTTGGCATTTTTGGAAATATTGTCTGTCGCACAAGGTGTGCTGTTGGGAGATGTTCAACACCATCAGCCCTTAGAGAAATGCAAATTGAAACTATGAGATATCGTTACACACCTATAAGAATGGCTAAAATGAAAAATAGTAATAACACCACTAATTCATACAATGCTGGTGCGAATGTAAAATGTAGAGCCACTCTTGAAAAATGGTTAGGCCGTTCCTTTCAAAACTGAAAATGGACTTACCATGTGACAAGCATTCTCACTCTTAGGCATGTATTCCAGAGAAATGGAAACTTATTTCCACACATAAACTTGGCACACAAATGTTTATGGCAGTTTTATTCATCATAGCCCCAAACTAGAAAATACCTAAATGTCCTCCAGAGGGTAAATGATTAAATAAACTATGGTGTATATATACCAGGGAATAGTACCCAGACAAAAAAAAAAAAAAAAAATAAATGAGCAGGGTCCCCGATTCTGCATCTCCCTGGAGGCCCCTATCCTTAGCCACACCGGGCCACCCATGTCTCAGTCGAGGCCAAAGGCACACACCTACCACCCTGCAAACCCACCTTAGCAGTTCTCCTTTGGGAAGCTGGGGACACATGCAAGAACTTGGATGAACCTCAAGGAAATTATGCTGAGTGAAAAAAAAGTCAACCTCAAAAGGATACACTGCATAATTCCATTTATGTAACATTTGTGAAATAATGTAATTATAGAGATGTACAGCATATTTATGGTTGCCAGGGGTTAGGGATTGGAATTGTGTGGCTATAAAGGGGTAGCACCATCACCTTATGGTGATGGTACAGTCACGTATCTTTATTTGTGACAGTGGTTGTGCAAGACTACAATGTGATAAAATTGTAGAGTACACACACATATACACACATACACACTACATACACAAATGAGTTCATGTATAACTTATGAAATCTGAGTGAGCTCTATGGACTGTACCAACATCAATTTCTTGGTGTTGATATTGAGCTACAGTGCATAAGATGCTAATGTATCGTGAGGACTGGGTGCACATTTCTTTGTAACCTCCTATGAGCCTATATATAGTATTTCAAAATAAAATATATATTTTTTAAAACAGTGAATTGCTCAGGTTTAAAAGGATAAGTCCTTTCTGGCCTCTTCAAAGACTACAGAGGAAATTTTTTGTTATCAACTGAAAAGAAATCGTTCACTCTTTGTCCATGATAGAAATAATATCTGGTGAGTCACTAATTTGTATTAAGCAGAGGTGTTTAAGGAGTGGTGTTTGGGGTTTGAAAGGGAAAATAAATAACATGTCATAGAGTGGTTGCAAGAATTACATGAAGTAATTAGTATAAAACCATAAGAGGTAAACCAGGTACAGGGTAGATGCT